CAATCTGTGACACAGTAGTTGCTTTTTATTGAAATTGATTTGGCCAATGCATAAATTGAAGAAAACGCTCGCTCCACTAATTACAATATATATGTATATATCTGCCAGCCAAGCAGGCAGCAGGCCAACATCGAAGGAGCAGCAGCAACAATAGGGGTATTCCCAACCATTTCCACTTGCCTTTCATTCACTTTTATTTCACTTTGTTTTTCGTGGTGGTTGTCGCTTTCGCATAAATAACTCTAAGTAAATTTTGAGCATACACACACACACACACACACACATTCATATGCATATCACACGAATAGGTGTATTCGCTTAAGCATGCTATATACGATTCCATACTATATATAAATTGCCAGCTTTCTTTCTTCTTCTATCGTTCTTTGCATATTGAATGTTGATTCCATTTTTTTTTTTTTGAAGCAGGATTTGTTGTTTTTTGTCTTTTTTTTTTTTTGCTGCGTTCATCACGTCTATTGGCCCATCTATTTTGTTACACACACACACACATATATAAACTAGGTAGCTGTTCCGCCCACTGTCCATGTGATTTGCTTTCGCTTGGTTTTATGTGCAAAGCTGTGTGTGTGTGTGTGTGCGGAACGTTTTTCAATATTTCAAGATTTTGATAAGCCCACATATGTATACGAGAAGATGGCCAACTATATCTTGCCAGCTGCCCAAGAAATCAATGTGTGCAAGAAGCACAGCAATGCAAAAAAACCATTAAGCTGTAGAAAAACACTTGACACACTCAGTGTTGTAAAGCGTGCACATTTTTTTCCTCAAATGCGATAAAATTTGATCAAATTGAAACTTGGGAAATACGCTAAAGAAACCAATTGAAGGAAGGCATATTTTCTGCTGTAAAAAGTTTGTCACTCACAACATTTAATCTTAAAATTATTTGCAAGCTGTTTCCAGTGTTGCATAGCGCAAGAGTTTCTTTTAATATTAACTAACATCGCTCACGAGCGCAAAAAAAAGATCAGCTAGCCAATAAATTAAAATAAATTATTAAAATTAATTTGAAACTTATTTGGAAGCTATCTTTCCTTTTCTCTCTTATCTCATACCTTAGCTCTCTCCTTATATGTAGTGTTGTGTAACGTAAAAGTTCTCAAAAGCGCAAAGACTCAAAATTATCATTGAACTAGTTGATTGGGTCTTTCTTTTCCAGGTGAACTGAACTTTCTTAGATGGAATCGCTAGTAAACTTGTTGATGTTGCCTTTATTTTCATTTAGAGTATGTATCAGAGCGAATCGCGTCGAAATAACATTAAAATTATTAATTCCGAGCTAATGTTTTGACTATAAAAAGATAGCTTGCCATAAAATTATATTCTACGATCAAGATATAGGTAAATGCAGAGCGTTTTATTCTGCGCCTCAAAGAATAACGAACGTCATTTCGAGATTTTATAGCTTCTTGTTGTTGTTTGTTATGGATATGCTAGTTTTTCTTTAATACAATTGCTTCCTCTATTCAGACAGTAGATGAATGGCTCTTTCTGAATTTTTCCCATCAACAACATCAATTGCCTCGTTCGTTAAGAGTCTTGAGTTTAATAATGAAACGATAACTGCAATTGGCCTAGAGACCGGTTCGGAATGCATCCTTGATTATAGTCAGCGTAATTGTTTTGCGTCTCTTTTTGAAAGTAAGCAGTTTTTATTTTTAAATTTTATTTTTAGTTTTATTTTGCATTTTACGATGCACCTTGTGAGCCCTGTGGCCAATTGAAAGCATGGCAAAACACAAAAGAAAACAGCAAGCCGAAGATTAAATACACTTCCGAACAGAGGACTTATGGGTTTGCAGAAATGCGCAGAAGTGTGCAGCTCTTTATTTACTGAGTTTGGCCAAGATATTTCAAAAGAAGAGCATATTTTTGTATAGAAAATAAATTGTTATTTCTTTGAGCTAAATGATACAGAAGTAAGACCATAAAACCTCATATATCTTTGCTTATATTGTGACAAAATTAATTGCCATGTTCACTTAATAATATATTAAAAACCACGAGAAGAACTTAATATTCGAGCAATTATTTCTACACTCAAAACAAAAAAGGTTCCCTAAATTTAAGAAATTTTGGCATTAGGTGAACATTTTTCTCATAAATAGAAAAAAGTGGACCATAAAATATACAATTTTAGAAATGTTTATGAGAATTTTTGTTTGATCTAAGGCTTACATAAGGAATAAATTGCTTCGATTGGTCTGATTTTGCTAGGAAAAGTTTCATGATCAATATGTTCAAGCTGAGAGAGTACGTACATGATCTGTTCTGATATTGCAGTTAGATATTTTATTGGTTTAAAGATATCTGCATCTATGTGTTACAAATGCCAAGACATAATTAAAGTATACTCTGCAAGGGTATATCAAAAAACTATGCAGCTTGCAATTAAGTGCGTGCGTTGCCAAACCCAGTCCCCCCGCCGCCGCCCCTCCACACTTTTCCGCTTGACATTGGTAATTTCATATTAGCAGCGCCTATGGCCAGGTCTCACAAAAGCCCAATTAAGCCGAGGCTTTTACGGCAAAGGATCAGGCAGCGAGAAAGAGAGTTAGAGAGAGAGGGCGAGAAAGAGAGAGAGAGAGAAATGGGGAGCAGCATTTTGAGAAAATGAAGCCGTGTGAAGGGAGGCGCAGGCGGCGAAGTGCACCAATTACCTGTCATGTCAATCCATAAAAATCCATTTGCTTTGCTTAGCTGCCATTGCGCTAGTCCTTGTTGTTGTTGTTGTTGTTGTTGTTCCTGCTGTCGAGGTGTGACAAATGCACTCAAGAAGCAGCCAGGCAGAGGCTGAAAGGCTGAAGGCACAGCTCGAAGCTCGTAAAGCATTTCACGCAACGCTGCAGCTTTCAATGGAAATTTGCTTTCCCTTTGATGCGCACAGCCAGGGGGAGGGGGGAGGGGCAGCGGCCAGAGCGGGGGTCACTGAGTCGGGAAAACAATTTTCTTGCCTACATTTTTTGTTGTTGTTGTTGTTGTTGTCGCCACAGTGTAAACTGGCATAACTTACAACATGGCAGCTCAGACATTGACATAAAGCCTGCCTCGGCCAGGAGACGACGACGTGGACACCATGTGGCAGGTCCAAGCAGCAGGCATGCGTGTGTAAAGGGTGGCCAGCAATAATACACACACAGACGCACACACTCACACACACACACACACCCACATACACCCACTGCAGTAGCCAGCGCTGATGTATGTATATAAAAAGTAAAAACTAAAAAATGTATATAAAAAAGCATTAAAAAACAAAGTAAAAGAAAATGCAAGTAAAGGGCTCACACGGCTCCAATGTCGCTGGGCAGAGTTTGAGAATAGACCCACACACACAAATACAAATACACACACACACAGTCAAACACACACACACACACAATACACCCAACCAAAGGCGCGACGTGCTTCGATTGGTCCAACTGCTGCCATATTCAAAGCCTTTTGGGGCGTCTGATGCGTGTGTGTGTGTGCTTGTATAAATGTGAGTGCTCTTTACACACACACACACACACACACACTAGCACACACGTACATGCTAATGATTTTTTTGGCTGAGGCTTTTAGCAGAGCGCAGCTTTGTCGCATGCAAATTCATTTAGTTGACTATCCTTCATGCTTGAACCCCGCCTCAGAGCCTGGCGCGGGTTCACGAACTTCCTTCCCGCCCTGCCCGTTCACACACACACACACACACACAGAGTATTATTAAGTCATGCGGCATAAGAAACATCACGTTATCTAGCCGCATGCAGCAGCAGGGCAACAAGAGCTAAAAAAATAAAAGAGAGGCAACAGCTAATAATAATATATTATAATAATTTGGATGCTGAAAATATCGTATGATTGCCGGGCAGCTACACGACACGACTTCTAACAGCAGCTCGAAAAAAAATATGAAAAAAAAAAAACAGATAGCCAGCAGCAGAAGCAGAAGCAGCTGAAGAAGCCATCGATCAACGGCCGCGTCTTTTGCGGCTGCGACTCCTTCTCCAGCTTCAGCTCCTGGGTTTGCCACTCAGCGCCGGCGCAACGCCCCGAAAAAAAAGAGATATAAAAAAAAAGAGTTGGCAACAAAAAAAAAAGGAAAGAAGCAGCAGAAACTGGACTACTGTTTGGCGCTGAGCGGCGGAGCCTGCAAATGAGCTGCCGTTCAAGTCATCTTCTGCTGACTGCGGCAGTCTCCCGGTCAGACGGCTTCTGTTGTACGCAGTAATTTTGCTGGGGCATGCAGCAGTACCAGCCCCCCCCCCCCCCCCCCCCCTACCCCTCTCCACCTCTGCACACTTTACCTGGCCACAGGTAGGCAGCCAGGCAGCCAGGTCCGGCCTTTGTTTTGCTTTGGCGCGCCAGCAACTGCTTATTACCATTAATTTTGAATTGTTTTTCGTGATCTTAACGATTGCCGCGATTTGCAGCTTAAGAAAAGGCAGCAGCAGCAGCAGCAGCAGCAGCACAGCCAGCTAAATTATGAAAATATATATTTGTGCAGTACGTGTGCGTGTGTGCGAGTGTGTGTGAGTGTGTGCAAGCAACTCTGCCGCAACTCGTGAGCTGCCACTGCTTTGCATGCAGCTTTACAATATTTCAATAAATTTTCTATCTGCTGCTCAAAGTTATCAAAGCAATTAGTGGGTGATTCACGGTACGTGGATTCGAACCAACTTCCTGCCTTGCGGTACGTGAACCCAGTTATAACCCTTTCTAAAAGCCCGGATTTTCATTGAAGCCCATTTCTCTTTACTATGAACTCTTTTTCCCAAAAACCCAAAGTCCTGAGCAAGGGAATTATTTTCTTATCAAACGACTAGAAATATTCATAAAACTCAGCCTGGTTTACAAAACTGCTTAAAAATATATATATTGGGAATAAATTTGGTAAATTATGTGTTTATTTGGAGGATGAAGCAATCGTAAACGGGAGAGACTTTCCTCATGTTTGATATTATGTATTATTATTATATATTTTCACTCACCTTTTGTATTAAATACATTCCTGGCTTGATTTTGTTGTACTTTATGCCACTTTCTTAAACACTTTTTAATGAACACAAAACCTGAAATTGAAAGATTCAAAATATTAATTTAAATTAAAATTACTAGAGCATTTTATAAGGCTTAAGTTCTGTTCCTTATAATAAATATATCTATTTTTATTTTTGTTGAGCAAAAATTCAATGAAATTTCAAAAATGTTATTCCACCTCAAAATAAATAGATTAAATTTTGTTTAAGTCTTTATGCTAATGTTGCTTAAGCTCAAAATAAAAAGATTAAAATGAGTTTAAGTTTTAAACGATGTTATTCTAAGCAATATTATTAAAATTAATATTATTCCAGCGCCAAAAAGTATTAGTGAGAATTTATATTTATATTTATATTTATATTAAGTATTACACTGAGAAAAAAAAGCGGGCAGGCGACAAGAGCTTTGGTACAGGACTTGAAATAAAGCATAAAGTCCGAGTCAAGCTAAAAAAAGGTCCTAAATGAATTATCATTTATATTTAAGTGAAGCTCTAAATGTTCTTAGAAGAAGTTAACAATATCCGGAATCAAGTAAAGTTAAAGTTAATTTATATAAAAGCCGTACTTTATTCTTGCTAAAAAAAAAGTATTTGCGAACATAAATTGATTTAATTTTTTATTCATATTGAGATCAAATTATGAGCGAGAATAAAATATGAAACACAAATTTGATCACAATTTTTGCAAAAGTAATACTTCTTTTGAAGTACTCGACCTTAAGACGCTTCCTTATTATTTGAAGTACGAAGTTCTTGCTTTTTTTGCTCAGTGTATTGACTCAAACTTAAGCTTGGCCTTAATTGTTGAAGAATTTTCAAATATATTATATTTCTTCCATCTTCAAATGTTAAATCATTGTCTCAACTCTTTCAGGATTCTTTCCCCTTCTCATTATTCCATAGACTTCCGATCCTCATATCTTTGTTCTACAAGCTTACCTCAAGTGTTGCAAGAATCTTTGCCATTGTGCCACTTGTGTGCATTTATCAGGCTCTATATTTGATTCCTTCAATATAGGCATGATTCTTTTGCAACTCGTATTCAAATTGCAATACATATTTCCCTCCCTTTCTCCCTCCCTCTCTCTCTCTGTGTCTCTATAATTTGCTCAGTTTGCATGTGAATCTTTTGTCTGCCTCTTCCCCTTGCCCCTTGCCCCTGCAGCATGCCCCTCTTTCATGTGTGATTGTAATGGCTTCGTTTTGGTTTTTATGAGTTTCTTAAGAATTATTTTGTGTGTTTCTTGGTCTTTTTGTTGCTGTGGCTGCTGCTGCTGCTGCTGCTGTTGGTTGTGTGTAATTACAGTAATGCGAGAAACCAGGGCCAGGCAAATGCAAAAACGAATCAAATTGAACAGTCGCCAGCGATCCGCAGCGTTCGATACTCCCAGCAGAAATCGGCGCTCATTAAGAAGCGAAAGCTACAACTCCTTTTTTTTTGTTTTTACTATACAAAATTATAATGCAGCCGTTACACTGCAACAAAAAGTCGAGTGTGTTGAGCAAGTGGCTGAAAAATTGGTCAGCAATTTGGGTGGTTAGGGGGGTGGTGCGGTGGAGGGGGGGGGACTGCGTTTTCAATTTAATATTTATTATCGACAATATTACGAGAGTCAGGCATCCATATATATATATATATATATATATATGTGTTTATATATAAGTAATGCAGGCGACGTCCAATGCGGCGTATGCTCTATTTGAGCTATTGAATATTCATGCAGGCAGAAATGCCTGCAACACCCCACTCACCCTCCCTCACACACACATAGGCGAGCATTTCGCCCAAAATGCAGTTTGTTATATAACACACATAATTATAGGCAAATCGAGGCAACGAATTCTCGCCACGCACACTGGACTCTCGCGCGCCCCTAATGCAAACGAGCAGCCTAAACACCCCATAAACCCCTCTTACCACCCAGCCGCCCTACCCCCTACCAACCAGCCACCGCCCAGCGGGCACTTATGTGGCATTTGCAGCATTTGCCGTTCGCCGTCTAGGCCGAGGCGCAATGCGCACACGAAGTGCAGCGAGGGGGGCGCCAACTATGTGTGGGCGTGTAGGGGCGTTTAGGGGGAGGTGTGGCAGTGTGGCATAGGTGCTCTAAAAACCCCTTCAGCCCCTCAACGTTGCGCTGCGGTCGCTTCTACGGGTCTGTGGGTGGCGACTCTGCAGCATTTCTAAGTACGACTATTATATTGCACACACATATATATATATATATATATATATATGTATAGATGTGTGTGTTTGTGTGTGTGTTTAGTCGTATATAGCTATGCGTGTGCGTGTGCTGACCATTATACATGATATCGCCTATGTGTGTGTGTGATGTTTTTGTAGATGTTTGCTGCAGCTGTAGTTGTTGCTGCAGTTGAGCCCGGACTCCATGAGATCGTTGCGTGACACTGAAGAGGATTTTCAATTCAACAAAACGATTTGAAGTACATTAGAAACAGTGGATTAAAATAATTCGTGAATGAAATACAGCGCATTTAGAGCTGGAATTACATTTATCTCTAAGAGGCAGATGCAACTATTGGGTGGACAAATTAAAAATAAAAGGCAATGGAAATAGATATGTGAAAATTTCTGACAACTAAAAAGACTAACTCAAGAAATATTCACAAAAAACATTACTAGTATCTAGAAAAGTCTGTAGGAAATAAATGAAATTTAAAATATAAGTAGGAAAAAACGACTCGACCTATTCCAACAACAACATGGACAACAAGCATCTACAAGATGAGGGCAGAGTTTGGAAAAGACATCTGATAAAAATAAAACAAATTTCCCTTGCAATCAATTTTAGCTACAGAGCGACATAATATAGTCGTCTGATATTGATCAGATTTGGTTTATATGTTTCTTAAAAGTCTTTAATGCAAGAATGTTGAAAAGATTGAGTTCATAAGAACGAAATTAAGTTTGCTATACAAAGATTTAGTTTATATGAAACGTTTAAAATTTGTTATACAACAAACCAATTTTTGACCGATTATTCCAATGTCAGCCATATGATATAGATGTTCGATCTGGCTAGTTCCGACATATTCCAGCAAAGGAAAGACCTAAACTTCCAAAATTCCATAGCAATTGATTGAAAAGTGAGTTTGCCAAGAAACATACAGACATTGTCTGCCAAAGCTAGCACAGCTTTGAACCAGCGACTTCCCCTTTGCTGGTTCGACGCCCAAAAAAAATGCTTGATTTTTAAATAAACTAACTAACTAATCGCAACCACTGTTGAGAACAATAAGAATAGCGCTCAATTGCGCTATCGGTCTATTGCAGATGGCAGGCACCTCGGCAAAAATTGCAAATCGTGCATTATAATTGAAGAGAACATTGGAGAACTAGCTAACAGGCTGATGTATAACACGAGAGAGGAAAAGAGAGAGAGAGAGAGAGAGAGAGAGGGGGGGGGGGGGGGTGGGGGAGTTGTGGTTTTAAGCTGTGCAAAGTGCAACGAACAGTGGGCAAAAATGCACACATTAAGTTTTCTGCCAGCTTGCCGGGCGCATTGTTGTGCCCACCTTTGTTGTTGTTGTTGTTGCTGTTGGGTGGCAAAGAAAGCGCAGTAAAAGCAGCTAAAGGCAGCAGGATGCAACACACACACACGCGCGCACACGCACACGCACACACAGGCGCACAGGCACACACATCAACAGGCGAATCAAAGTCAGCGCATCATCGATATGGCTGCAGCGGCAATGGACGCTGGTCAAAAGCAGCAGAGGCAACTGCAACTGCAACGGCAACAGCACCTCGGGTTTGAGTTTTTGAGGAAGCCAAAACAGAATGGGAGGGACGGGATTAGGTTGTGGGTTTGGGGCCTGCGTAGGCAACGGCAGCAGAAATTGGATGCGTGTGCAAAATGCAATGCATTTTCTAACACAGCGACGCGAGATGCAGATGCAGATGCAAATGCAACGGGGAACACACACGCACACACATGGAGCCCCCGCCTGGTTTGGGGGCAGCTCCAGCTGGAGCTGCAGCTAGAGTGTGGGCTGCGGCTAGGGTAGCAACGTTTTTGTGATTTATTTTTAATTGAAATTCTAGAATGCGTGCAAAATACGCATGCAAAGTGTCTGGGGCACCTAGAAAACTTTCGGCCGGATGCGAGTGTGTGTGTGAGCGAGTGTGTGTGTGTGTGTGTGTGTGCATGTACACACAGCTGAACGGGCCTAGAGGCCTGCAGGCGTAAATTGCATAGGCGAGCTGGCAAGGGCGGGCGGGCAGGGCCGGTAGGATTGGGCTGCGTATTTTTGGGACAGAAATTGTGCGTGCACGAGTCCTGGCAAAGTCAACGTTGCCCTCGTCCTTGTTGCCGTTGTTGTTCTTGTTGTTGTTGCTGTTGTCGTCAACGTCGTTGCTGTTGTAATGTTGGGCAACGCCAAAATTTTCTACAAAAACAAAATACGGAATTAATTTTGTTTTAGAGAAAATTTGCAGTGCAGTCACATGTGTGTGGCTGCGAATCGGAGTAAAAGTAGCGAAAAGGATGACAGAAACGGGCACATACAGCGGGTTCCAGGGCATAGAGTGTGGTGGCAGAGGGGTAGAGGGGCACGGAACATGGCTGCATATTTGCTGATAATAATTAAGTGCAGGCTAGGCCCATAAAGCGCAGCACCCTGTACAGTGGAGCACAGGACAATGGACAGCAGCGGGTTTCGTGCGGTATCGATAATGAGCCATTCGGCATACACACACATATGTGTGTGTGTGTTTGAGTGTGTGTATATATATGTGTGCGTGTGTTTGTACATGTTCCGTAAGTTTGTTGCTGTTGACAGGACAGTTCTTTGAACTAGAAAGTTTTAATGGCGTTTGCCCGCATTGAGCAGAGAAATAAAACAAGTTATTTTCGCGCTAAATATGTGCAAAATTTGCTGCGCTTAAACTAAGCAAAACACTCTTATTTTAAGCGCATTTTGCTAGCATTTATGTTTGCGAAATACAAGATTCAAATAAATAACGTAAGCCTAGAAATGTTGC